AATATTATTTGTATATCTAAGGCATATAATTCTAAATGACACAGAAAACTTTTCGTCAAATAGTGTCTTATCTGTTACCCGAACTTAACAGTCATCACAGCTCCCAGAAAGAGAATTTCAAATCTTTCCCTTCAAGTAGCAAGGTGGGAAAGGAAGGAGGAATGTGTCTCTCTCCTCTCTCCACAAAGGGGAGGGGGGTCCAAGAACCAAGGGGTCCTCTGTGAGTCCTGAATGCCCTACTCACTCCTCCTCTCAGGGTCCACCTGTAACTTCCTAATGCCAGGTCAGCTGAGGGAAAGAACCTTCTGGCTACAAAGCAGCAAGTCCCGTGACCCTTTCTCCTCTTGTCAACTGCCTTTCAAGTAACTGCTTACTGTGCACCTAGGAATTGCTAAGGAGGTTTACTTTCTTTTCTCTTTTATGTTTCCAGGGAAACAACATAATTAAATATATCATTAACAGGAAAAGTGTCTTAAAAGTAAGAATTTAGTATGAAGAAAGGAAACACTCATGGTCATGAAGGGGATAAATGAGCTGTAACTGGTAACTTCATTCACAAATACAATATTCTGTGATCGTAAGTGATAAGGCTCATCTAATTCTATCAAACACAATAATTCTACTTGTTTTTTCAGACCTACTTTCTAATCAACTACATCTTTCAAAAATATTTTATTGCTAAAACTAAGGGAAACAAAACTAAGCTAATTAAATAAGCTGAACTACTCAAAAACACAAATGGCAAACACTAATTTGTTTTTCTCGTTGGTCAGAAAGCTGGAAAAGGGCCCTTATCTTCAAATACTCTAGAATTATGCCTGCTTGCTCAGAAATGCAGAGTGATCGATACAGAATGCAAATCTTCCAACTTCATAGCAAAGCCTCACTTATGCAGAAAAGAAGGTGAGGAAAATTAAGGACAAGGTACATCATAGACAAAACAGAATGCCTAAAGGCAGGAATTTGTGGGGCAGAGCAATTTATTTTCAGAGATTATGCCTGTAAATAACAGTGGTAGGTATGTCCACATGGTCCAACAAAAGCGTGTGGTGTGGCATCCGGTCACCATCTCCTGCGACCTCTAGCTAGTGTAGTCAATCTGTGTGATTACGACAGCCTTGCTTGCTAGATAGGGAGAGACAGCCAATGCAGGGCCACCCAAATACTCAGTGAGAAAAATTCAAAAAATAACCTGGGAAAGCCATGAAAGCAAATACATACTGCAGACATTTTTTTTCTTTTTCTGTTTAGAAAGAATTTTGATCGAAATTTAAAATAGCCCACGCTAAATGCCTGCTTCATGTTTTACACGAAAACCCAGCTGTGACCTGGGGACCTGGGGCCAACTGGGGCTCTGGTAAATGGGAGAGGTGGATGTGAACAGGGTTTGGACATGACATTGACTCACCTTAATAAGTCATCGCTCGAGTTAGCAGCTTACACACTGTCTACAGACTAATACAGTCCGTCAAGTAACTCTTGAGTCTAAATACCCTGAATTAACATGACTTAACTAATGGATTTCAAAATAAGATTTAGATCAACAGTCCCACCAATCAGCTTATTTATGAAAGAAAGGGATATATTTTCATTGCCCTAGCCCTCGATCCCTACCTCCAAGCAACTCATTTCCTTGTGTACCAGAGGACATATGTAGCCACAGCCAAATGGGTTTGTGTGTATGAGCATGGGCCGGTGTCTCCTCAGAGCAGTGCAGAGGACCCAGGCCGTTGCCTGTGCACACATGCCTCCCTGGAGGAGCAGGACCACACACCCTCTACCTGCATTAAACAGCAAAGATGTTTTCTGAAGAAAAGGTCCAAGGGGGCTTTGCTGGGTTCTGGGAAAATAAAATAGGACACTCATATTGGCAATTTTAGCTATCAGGTAAAGAGAAGGGATAAAGGGAGGGGCCAAGGGCATAAAAGCTGTGCCTCAATGGCACATGCTGACCTTGACACAGGTTCTGCTCACTTTGCTTAAGTGGCTGACAGAATGAGCAGCCAGAGTAATGCACTTTGCCATCAGGAGAACTGCCTGGCTTAGCATGAGGCTAGAAAATGAGTCCAAGAGTCACAGCAGACAATGGCCAAAGTCAAGGCTTCACGATTCCTTGGGTGTGGATAATGTAAATAATAAACTGTGATTGCAGAAGGTGGGATGAGCTGTTCCACCCTGTGTATCTGTACACAGCATACAAAGCATATGGAGAACTTGACTAATCTCAAAAGTCATGTGGAACACAAAGTAGCTGGATGGTGAACTTCTACCAAGAGCATGTTTCCACCTGCTGAGAACCCTACCACACAGTTCCAGATACTTAGGATAAGGGAAGGCAAAAAATGTTCCTGCCCTCACTAGGGCTTATAATCTACAAGCAGGAACAAACAATAAGCAATCAATGAGGCACCTAATTCTATAGTTTAGATAGTACATGTTTGCAAAAGCAGAGGGGCGGTCACCACATGAAATAAGGTGACCAGCGCCTGCCGCCATGAGAAGAAGGCTTTGAGCAAAGAGGAGACTGCGTCAGCCAAGTGGGTGTATGGGCAAGGGCGGTCCGAGCAGAGGGGCCCAGAGCTCTGCCCTGAGGTGGGAGAGGCAGCAGAGGACAGGAGAAAGTAGTCTGTCTCTTGTGTCTACATTTCATCTTTCAGCCCTGCTTTCTAGCACAAACAGGGACTCAGTTCATGTTTCCAAATGACTGAAATTTCAATAATCACAAGATTATTCAATAAGCAAATTCAATTCCACACACAGGCTAGGACTCCCTAAGAAAACTATACAAAATGTAAAGGCAGTAGACACAGATTTTCCAATTAGTTTTTGTGTCTCTTCTCCCTCCTCCAAAATTAAACTTCACAGCTTTATTTCCAAGAATATACGAGAAAAGCAGAAATTGGGTTCTATCATAGAAGAATGAGAACTTCTCAGACAGAGTCTACTTTTGGACAGACTCTCATGACAAGTTTCTTTTTAAAAGAGAAAAAATGGTTAAGTTTCAGCAGAATACCAGGTGAATCTGACTAGCACAGAGGTAGCATCCCCTACCTCCCCCAGGGCTCATGATGTGATATGCTGGCTGGCTACAAGACACTTTCTCTATAAAGTGACCTGCATTTGGGTCTCAGACCTCAGAGGTAACCTTCAAAATGAAATAAAGATAATTAAAAACAGAAAGCTGTTTAAGCCAGGTACAGGGAATCAAAAAAAAAAAGGGGGGGGGTGGGCTCAAGAATTCAATTGAAATGAGAGAAAAGAATTTTCTTTCATTCATACAATTGGCCACTGCAAAAACTTCTCAAATGAATCTGCATTTAAACCTAAGAAATCAGAGTCCCATTAAGTCCCAACTTTTGTCCTTACAAGTTCTTTCCGTATCAATTTGACATGTTGAGTTTTCGTTCTACAGGAATCACATTTAAAGGAGAATACAGGACTAAGTTTCTAGAAAAGTTAATGCTTAGCACTGGGCTTCCCTCAATCCTCCTCCCCCTGCCTTTTCAGCCTCTCAGTCATTACTGATTTCTCATTTACATTCAAATCCACTCTTCCGAATACTTTAATGTATATTATCATGGGTCACTTTCTTGAACTCTGCTAAAATATTTTATTTTATCCTACTTCCTATGTGTTAAAAAGAAAAATGAGAAAGCCGTTAAGAATTTCAGTTGTTACCACATTACATGAAAAAGTACTATAAAAATAGTTGATGACCTAAAAAGGAGAAGATCATTTATTGTATAAGGAAAGACTTGTTTTCCTGTGTATTATATTCGAATGAGGTTACATCTGATAGTAGTCCTCAAATGCAGTGTTGCTGTGCAAGTATTTTTACAAAATCTTTTTGTCACTAATCTTGTCAAGGTATTACATTTTCCACCTTTGAAGTAATCTTACCTAGTTTCGAATTTCTACACTTTGGGGACAAATTAAATGATATTTCCTGTTTAATTAATCTACTGAAGGACAAAATGTCTACAAAGCAGGTGCTCAAAGGCAGCTATTTATTCTTATATTCTGCTTCATAGTCTTATCTCATTCGTTTATGCTGGAATAATCCATCAATAAAGACATGTATTGCAGAAATACACGGTGCACTGACCAACCTGTACCCAATGCAGCTGGGCCCCCCCTCTTTCCCATACACCTTTCCAAACCTTGCCTGGTCTTTGAAAAAAAAAAAAAAAAAACAATTACACTAGAAAAAAAATAATACTCGATGTTTACTAGCGAGGAAAAGAGTATCTGGCAAAGCTGTTAACAGCAAAGCTGAGCAACAAGCTGGGCTTCGTGTGAAGCAGAAGAATCTTCAATGAACAGCTGTGCACCAAGTCCCAGTGTGGGCCAGCTCCAGTAAGTAATGAGCGGCTTCTGAATCAAGGTGGCTTCTAGTTAAGAAAGTTTTCAGTGATTTTGTTTTGCTCATGAAGGCCAAGCACACACCGGCATTAATGTGACACATGACATTGCCCATGACGGGACACAGCTCGCTCTCCAGCCACACGAACTGGGAGATTGGGTTTCAGCTGCAGCTACAGTGTTTCTGGGAGGAAACCAAGATGTAGATACTGGGTTATAAAAACAATGGTTTCATCTGGGCTGAGTTCTGTGGTCATCTTATTACGCTACATTTTTTCGTACAAATCATATTAGCATTAAACATTTTTGACTTACCCGCTTCTTTCCCAAAGATACATTAACTATGTAAATGCCAATTACAATAATGATGCAACAGATATTGAATTCAAGGGAAATAATAATAATGTTTAAAGACATTAAACAGGTTCTCAGATGCCATTTTCATAGTTTTAAGACAACCCTAACCCATAAACACACATTTCTGGCACATAATCATTAACTAAGCTTTTATATAACATATATAAATTCCATTAAAGTCACCAAAATGAATTCTGCCCAGAGCATCACAAGCCAAACAGAACCTAAGGGGGAGGGAGAGGAGGTCGGGAGTCATGAAGTAGTAACTCATAAACACTGACCTTGTTGCTCACTGTCTGCTTCAGTTTTTGAAGAACCTGGTGCAACAGGGAGGGGCCGAGGTGGTCGGGGCTTTGGTGTGGGAGGTGAGATTTTTTTCCTTCCAATATATTCTACGTAAGTTCCTGGAAAGTCCCCTCTCTCTCCTGTGGTTTCATTATAGCCATTTAACCAGCCAATTTCTTCAGGTCTGGCTTCCTGTCCCTCGCTGAATCCAAGAGCTAGCAAGGACCCTTTATTCACAGTCAATATGTCACCCAAGTGCAAGTCAATGTCTTCTTCTCGCTCCTTCTTATAATCATACAACGCTCTGTACTGGTACCCTTCGGCACTCATGCCTGCAGATCTGTTACCATGCACCGCACGGGTCTGGTTCCACACTGCAGCCTCACTTTACGTTACTATGAAAAGTGAATTCAGAGGATGTAGTAAGATTCCTAAGGTGAGTCCAGCAGAGGACAAAAGACAGCTCTCCAAAGGCTTAAGAGGAGAGGCGACTGGCCATCCGGCTGTCCATCTGTCCTCCATCAATGGTGTGACTGAAGTCAGGACTCCACTTCCTTTTCAGGCCACAGTCTTCCCACTCGCTTCCTTTTCAGCAACTTGTCAACACTCTGACTCCAGGCTGATTCTCACGGCGAGGCCCAATCCTTTCCGACACTCTTGTCACACTGTCCATCTGTCGTCTGATTTTACTGCTGCACGCCACACGTGAGCTTCACCTAGCAAGGGAAAACAAGACTTATGAATGAATGTCACACTTTGCCATCTGTGTGGATTTGAATTTCTCCTTCCATTCAACAAGTACTTAATCAATTTGGCAGAATAACACAGGCTAGCATGCTATTGCTTGACTCAGTATACAACAAAGATTAGTAAGACAGTCCCTGCCTTCTAAGAACACTAGGTGGGGGCAGGAGGGGTGAGGGCATGTGGCAATATCTTAGAGATATCTTAGACTGGCACACGAGGAACCCTAACACTAGGTAAATGCCACAGGAGGGACAGAAACTAAACACTGTGGGGTGCAAGCAAAGGAGAGACCATGTTAACTGCAGGAAACTGCAGTGAGGATGGAATGTATAGCAGGATCATATTCTGAGAAGAGCTAGAACAGGCTGTCCAATCTGGGTGAAGTCAAAAGGACACTTTGGACGGTGGTTAGAAAGCAAGGCAAGGGATGAATGATGTGCTGAGATGGTGTGAAACTGAGTCTTCACTAAAGAATCACTGAAAAGGCACAGAAAGGGGAACCACCTCGCTGGTGGGGTATACATAGACCTGGGGAGGGAGCAGTGAAAGGTGCATTGCAGCCTCTAAGTAAGCAGCCTTGAGAGGGACACCACAGTGGGAGCAGAGGCTGTGGGACAGGGAGGGGACAGCACATCATGATGGGATTAACCAAAGCTTAAATATGGTCAAAGCAGAAAGTGGAGCAAAGGGTACCTGATACGGTGTTAAGAATTTAGTTACCCAAGATCCGAGTGGGGAGGGGGCCCAATGGACTGTGGGTACTTTGGTGGAGGATGTGGTGTGGTAATATGCCTGAAAATGTGTGACCCTATACCTCTAAATCATAAACAGTGTTAACTCAATTTAAAAAAAAAGAATGTATTAAAGAAATGATCTGCCACCACTAGGCAAAGGGAAGCCAAATGGTCTGATGTATTTAAGGTGATGCTGGTAGATCCACAAATGCCTGTAGGCTAGTGGGTGGGTGAATGTCTGTCTGTGACTGAAGAGACAGAACAAGGCTAACCTAATTGGAATTGAGGGACTCACAGGAAAAATAATTAAATTTCTAAGGCTCAAATGCCGAGCTTTCATGAGTGCAACTGAGAAGGGACAATCAGGATTTGGGGATTAGAAGGGACAAGTGAGAAAAGGTGATCCCCCCCCTCCCCCGAAAAGGTCTCGGAACCAGAAAATTGAAGCAAGACTAAGAAATTTGGGGCTCTGTTCATCATAAGTTGTCACTGCCTTTGGAGATATGAGATTCCAGTCTAGCAGTTATGAACAACTTGAATTTTCAGGGTTAGGAACCGAAGTAGAAGTAGAGATGCTTCTGCAGATGCTCCATGAAGATGGCTCAACAGAGAGGATAATGGGGAATTAAGAGTTGGAAACGCTTAAGTTTAGGATTAGAAAACCAATTTGTGGATGTCTGATAGGGAGTCTCTAGTCAGACACATTTTGTATCCCATTTGTTTCTCAATATTAAGCAACCTAAAGGTTTCAGTTAAGCTGGCCCAACAATAAAGCAATAAAACACCATCCATACAACTTCAGTGCACTATATCAAAGAGAGCTTTTATAAATTTTAAGGAGTGGAACTCTTTAGAAGTTTAATATTATAGGCACTCTTCAGTGTAGGCATTTTAAGATGCAAAATCTAATCACAGATTGTTATGTTGACATTCAGCAGTGTAAGGTATTCAACTTTACATGGCTAAAGCCTCTTAGCTGTAACACAATAACACACTTAGGAGAGTTACATATTAAAAGAAGCAAAAACAAACACTGGAATTCTTTGTGTAATAAGAATATTAATTTGGTATAGTATACTACTTGAATTTCAGTCATCAGAAAAAAAAAAAAATTAAAGCAACCAGCAGAGAATAGGAGAAAAATCAACTATATTATGTTTGAAGACAGTCTTTTCTTTTGATAGATCCAGAATCAAATTAAATATTCACTGCATAAATTCACACAAAAATGTAGAACTAGCAAATCTCATTTTTAGTACTAATGTACTCTGTGCAAATGAGACGCAGAACTCTAAAGAACACGGAAATTTACATATCCCTAAATGGCTGGAAACCAGGCAATATGCCTAAGAATAATTTAATTCCTCTAAATCTGCCTTGAAATTTTTGTTAGCTTTTCCTGGCAATATATGTCTTTTTGGAAAAAAAAAATGTTCTCAACTAGTAGGGCTGAGTATAATTTTATGCCAGCTGCTGCCAGCATTGCTTCTAGTTTAACAATCCAGTGGGTCAGTTTGGTTATATTCTCAACAAAATAGAAGTCCCAAAAGGAAAAGGGAGCCTTTCCCCTTTCCTCTCTTCTACACAGCCTCCACGGCCACCGAGCCCGTGCTCACCACACACCTGCACGGCTATGCATGTTCCTCACCAGAGACACAGGCAAAGGGTCCATGCCTGTTAAGGTTTTACAAACCTGAAAACTGCTTACATCTGAGGTTAAATCTGTACAAAGGAAAAAAGAATCCCGAGGAACATGATGACTTTAGTGGGGCCAGACTCAGATCAGCAAAACCAGCTGTACCTGCCAGAGACCTAATGTCTCCGCATGCTCTTTCACTCACCATTTCTGGAAAAACATTACTTCCTATTCAAGAATTCTGTGCAGAAGACTGAGTTCTCATCTGATCAGAAGAACCCTAGTTCGCCTATGACTCTAAGACTCTAAGATTTTAAATAGAACACCCCATTCCTGCCTTCCGAGACTCCACAATCAAGGCCAGGAAGGGAAGACCAATCAGAACAATTCAAGGTCAGCCATGATTCAGGGTCAATGTTGTAAGAGGAAAGAGAGAGCTGACTAGTACTCTGGGAGGTGACTAGGTTTCTCAGGTACTGAGAGGCTTTGGCTAGGGAGCACACACTTTCTCCTGACTGCCACAGCCATTTTAATGACTGTCACCTAATACTTAGGGGGAGCTACATAGGCATTAACCAGTTCAATCATCACGATCCAAAATTGTTGGCAGTTGTGTTTTAACATGTTCAACATTTCAGATAACCATGAGGCAGCTGCCATCAGTATTCTCACTTCACATAGAGGGAAACTGAGGCACAGAAAGGTTAGTATCTAGGCTATGATAACGCTCAAGAATTAAGAAGTAGGGCCAGAATTCAGATCCAGATCACCTGGATTCAGGATCCCCGCTTTTACCACCACAAGAATCGACTGACCAACTATCAGAAAGGTGCTCCAGAGCAACCCAGAAATGTCTATGGAAGTCAATGATTCAGAGTCCCTGCCTGCACATTCTGACCTCTCTTGTTAGATGAAAACGTCTGCTTTTCACACTCTGCAACAGCAGCCCTACTGATGGTATTTGTGGCTCTTCACAAACATACCTGCACAAAAGGAACAAAACAAAATAAGCAGGCAATAGATCTGTCAAGTTCTAGACTGGGTATCTAGGACCATGCAAATTTTCTTCCAAAGGGGCTTCATTAAAATCTGTCCTAGCCAAAGAAGTCCATAAGCTAGTTAATAAAGGAATACTAGGCACATACATCAGTACTGGAAGGCTGCCCGCTTCTGGACTTCTGCCCATTTCTGTTCAGAGTCTTAAGCTTTTGCCACCTGTATCCCTCTTGGCATCTCTGCCCCCTGCTACTATCCCAAGTCCCTTATACACAACTTCTAACAACTTGGCTCCTTTTAGGGGATATGTGATGCAACAATCCACAGTCAAATGGGCTCTCACAGTTAGTAGACCAGCTAGTTCTCTTTCTCTCACCGTCAAATTGCTACCAGCACCTCAGAGACTCAGTAGCACGAGGCGTAGGCAGTGCCCGGTAACTCCTGAGATCACCTTGGATCCCAAACTATCCAGGTAGATATATCACAAGATTACATCTTCAATCTCTGTGGCTCTATACATCTGTCCACTGATCTATTTCTACCCAGACCAACAACATTATTCACATTGCATTTGTGAATATTAACCATCCACAAATTGTTTCCAAATAAGCAAGGCAGTTTTATGACATAGGTTCCAAGCTAGTGTACACATAAGTTACTGTAACAAAAGGCATAAAGGAATCTTACCAACAAATATGGAGTTAACGTCATCTTATACTACCTGATATGCAACAGTCCAAGATTCCTTAACAGTCCAAGATTCCTTAACAGGAAAAAATTTGCTTCAGTCTTTTTTTTTAAGTCTCTTTTAAAGACTGCCTGCCAATAGCATTGATCAAAAGTATATATATTTTTCTCTTTGCTAAGACAGTGAGGAGTTCTTATTCGGTTCCTCATATTAAAGTTGTTTCTGATGCAATCCTTGACTTCTAATGTACAACTGTTTGAAAGTAAAATTTCAATTTAACCCTCTAACCTGCAGGCATTTTGGCCAAGACCCAAACAAAATTCTTTGAAAAGTCCTCTGACTTTGTTGGCTTATTCATTGCCCTTTTACAAAGGAAAAAGTTTGAGTCAACTTGGTGGGGAGAATAAAGGATATTTTAAAATCACCTTAAATAAGCAGAGAGTATATCCTGGTGATATGATTCTATCCTTAAAAAAAAAAAAAAAAACGAGCAGATTGGCACTGAGTAGCAGCACCAAATAGGTCTCAGAGGAGAAGGTGGGGGGTGGGGGTGGGAAAACCCAAGCCTTATGTTGTATGGGACATTCTGTTTCTCCATCCTTGGTGTGCTGAGTCTAGTACAAGACTCACCATCTAAATTTAAAAAACTCACTGTTCAATTTTTTTTCCACCTTTCAAATCTCATTTCCTGGAAATTGTGAAAATCAAATTGAACACTATAATTTCCTAGCAAACATAATGAATTATTTTCAATTTAAAATGATGGGCTCGTGGTAAATTTTATGGTATGTGAATTCGATCTCAATTAAAACAAAATGATAGGTTCACATGAAGCCCCAAAACAAAGACATCAAATATTTTCATTCATTTCCAAACCAACCAAATAGCTAGAATGTGTTGCCCTCTGCCACACTAGAGACTGAGTCTGTTCTGTGGGGAAGCTGGATGTCCAGGCCACCTGGAGGGCTGGGGCCAGAAAAAGCCTGGATGAAATTACCAGCAGCCAATGACTCTCCAGGGGCGAAAGGATGGGTGGGTGCTGAGGGCGGCGAGAGGGAGCAAAACCAGGCCCCCGCCAGCTCCAGGGAGCTCAGGCTGGGGTCCCTACCGTGGCAGTGGGAGAAAGTTGCTGACTCTGGTTTCCCAGCCAACAAGCAAATCCTACCCAGAAAATGTGGTGCCCACCTCTCTGGTTCTCTAGGATCATAGTGAGGAGACAATGACCACAGGATGAGGACCGAAATGGCCGACTCTAAGACCCACCTCTTGTGAAAAAAAACAATGCTATTGAGTTGTTGGAAAAGTCATGGTGCATTTTTGCTTGAAAAACAGAAAAAAACATGGCATGGCTTTTACAACATTTTATAAAATTCTTAACAAGAAGGGTAGTCTAAGTGCTGAGCTTCAGATTCAGGCCACTGCCCCCATCAGTGCCTGAATATAGAACCTTGGTTAAGAACTTACACCTCTCTGTGGCACAGCTTTATCATCTGTGAGACAGACACATTAGCAAATCTACACTTCATAGGGTTATTTGGAGGATTAGAAGAAATTACATATATAAAGCTCTTTGCTCCATGCCTGATAATTAGAGCTCAATATAATTAACACTGACCCAGTGCTTTTAATGGGTCAGGCACAGTTGTTTAAGTTTTGCATATACCAACTCACTTAATCCCCACAACCACTCTAGGTGCAATTATCATCTCCACTTTACAGATGAGAAAACAAGCACAGAGACGTTAAGTAATTTGCCTAAAGCTACATAGCTAATAAACTGCAGCTATAGTATTGCTATTATTGTTGTTCTCAGTACTGAATGCCACTCACTGCCTTTTAACAATTGAGATTTAAAACAGGAGCAGACATTTCCCAGGAATCTTCTTCCATATTACATCCAAATGCAGCAAAGTGTTCTAATGAATCCTGAAGCTACCTGAATAAAACTCTGGGCTGCCTCCTTAACTCCTTTTCTGAGTAAACAGACAGCAAGATAAAGACAGCAGGGGACTTTGTCCATCTAATAGCTCTCCACCTGAGGTAGAGGGTGGCTCTGCAGAAGGCAGGGCAAAGGAGTCTTGGGAGGAGCCCAGAGGGGTGGGTGGGTGGTGTGAGGCTGGGTGGAGTTAGGGGACAGGACTCTTCTCCAACAAGGCTTGGTGGCAGCTCCTTCGCTGCCCTGAAATGACAGCAGGAATGCGATCCTCCAGAGGCCGACTGCAGCTGTGTCCTCATGTTCCAGCCTGTGCTCCTGGGGCTGTCCTGGGTGGAAACCACAGTGTCCTTGGGGTCCGCAAAGCAGGCCAAGGGCCAGGCGTTTCGGACCAAGCACCTCGCTGTACAACTCTCTGCCACTGGCAGAGACTCCTCACACTTTGGCCTGACTCCTGTGACTTCAGTTCTCTCTGGGTGATCGTTAACTTGAAAACTATTTTGACTACAGGTGCTTATGGGTACATATTTGATTTACTTTAAGGAAAACAATGTTGGGAAGATTAAAATCACCAAAGGTGTTTTTACAGTTGAATTTGTTTTTAGTAAAGCTATATTCTATCCTTTGGGGAAAAAAATACAGTAACATAAGCCAAACAGACAAGTGTATAACTAGTTATGCAATCTGTTTTTCAGTTCATTGGGCATAATGTACATTATGGTCTTTAATCGCCACTCTTTTAGTAAAACAGTTTCAATAAGAGCAGTGGCAGAATCAGGGCAAGTAATTAGGATGCAGTAGAAGAGATAGAAAAAATGCTTTAAGAAAAAGGAAGATTCTAAAAATTCATTACAACTTAAATTTTTGGTTGAAAACAGTCATACAACTTGTATTATGCCTTCAAAGGTAAAAACTAGTTAATAATCCCTTCCTGCTACTAATAAATAAATTTCTCATCATCACTAAGATGCTCCATTCTCTTGCCTTCAATAACGAGTCACTGTGCCTTCCCAAAGGAAATCTGTGGGATGCTAAATAGTATAGTTTACCATGTATATGATAATGTTATATACTAAAAAAACACTTCTCAGTCCTTTATTGTGTATGCCACTAATCTGAGAGAATTAAAAGAAACCCAAATGAAAACATTATCTGTTTTCTCTATATATTTTGATCACAAAATCATTTTTAAAATCTGCTTATTTACCTTCAGCTTATTCAATAAAAACTGTGCAAGTCACAAAATGCAAACACAGTAAAAGCCGAACTAGAATAGGTCCTGTCTTAATGAACGTATGGACAGTTTTTCAGAGGAAAAGAAATTTCCACAAACATGCCAATTTAAAAATTGCATGGTAGTAATGGAATAATTTTTATCAAAGGCATAACCAACACTTTTTACAACACAAAAATTTAGGTAAACAGAGTAAGCTTGCATTTAAAATACTAAGTTCTTCCAAAATACTAAGTTCTTCCAAAAGCAGATTAGCTGCAACTTTTATTTCCAGAAGATACATGCATACTACCTACCATCACCACTGTCAATACCAAAATACCTACTACCTGTAACTTATTATACCACTTGTTTCCCAAAACCACTTTATGCTACAGGGGTTCCCTGATCAAGACATAGCTAAGAAAGAATATAAGTAATCAATGGGAAGTGACTATCAGGATCACATAAGTTCAAAGACAATTATAAGCCTCACTTTACAAAAGCAGATAAAACAAAAGACAGCAGTGTGTATACTGCATAGTTCTGCTGTGCAACTGACAAGAATAGGTCCCAAGTCAAGATGAAAGTTAAAATCTTGAAAGCCAGTATCAGATGTAAAACTTTCTTCCAATCACGAAATCTCTCTGGGGAAAGTATGACTGATTCTCTAGTACCCACCTGCAGTGGCATGAAGAAGCTGAAAAGGCCAGTATTGACAGAACCCAGCCCTTCTGCAAGACAGGAGCCTCCTCCACTGGCCTTTCCAGTTTAAGTTTTGATAGTGAACTAAACACACCTTACAAAATTTCAGAAGGACCCCCAGCCACACACACACACAAAAGCCATTCTTATGGTTGTTTTCTTTGTAACGACCAAAACATGTGCTTTCTAAAGTTTAAGTTCTTTTCCTAAGAAAACAATTGACTGCTTTTTAAATTATTTATTTTAAGAACAATATAATTCCATACTAAAAAAAAAACAAAAACAAAAACACGAGTAAACAGGTCACATTCTCTCCTTTATTAATGATAAAAGTGTGTGTGTCCTTCTTTGGTGCAGAAGTCACGGAATTACCAAAGATTTACACACTCAAGATCGATTACTTTGATAGTTACAGACATGAACCTGTCTACCTTGCCTAACCTTGCAATCTTAAAGTTGACAAAACGCAAGCTGATGAAATATTAAAATACAATGCTACATAAAGTCCGGGTCAATAAATTTTGTGTATGTCCCTAGCAATTAAAACCTGAACTTCTTCACACCAAAACGACAATTTTACGCTGCATTCGAAACCCGGGAATACTTTATCCATTTGTACTTCGCACAGACTGAGAGGAAAAGAACAGCAAAAAGACCCCATCCCTTCCAAAGTCATGACCCCACCCCACCCCCAAATAAAGAGTAAACTCAAACTCAGACACCAACAGCGCTGTAGCTTCCCCAGGGATTAACGGAGGAAGCCAGACCTTTCCTCACATTAACAGCACCCAAAGAAGCATCAAGAATGTCCCCAAATCCATTTCGCAGGCATTCTGCATTCAACATGTAACAGCATTTCGCTCACACCCTTGCATTTCAAGCTCGAATTTTGACTGTTAGTGTGCTTTTGATTGTGCTGGGGGTACTTGGCAGGAGCTTTCTGGTCGCTTTGTCTTGGGATCTGTGGGACAGTTTCTGCCCTTGGGAAGTGAGTATTAGAGCTGTGGCTTCCAGACAATTCCCCTAGCGTACATAGCTCAGGCTTGCATACTCCCATACTCTCCCTAACCGGCTCCATATTGCTGGGCAGGTCCCTGGAGTCTCGTCCTTAAATACAAAACAACTGGACGTCCTGGCAAGTCCGGGACCCCCATTAAAATACGTCTCTAACAACCTGCCGGGCCCGATGGGCATTAATCGTCTATTTAGGGCCACTGCAACCGGCCGCCCGGAGGCACACTTCCCCCACCCCGGAAGAGGAGGGAGGCAAACTTCGGAGGGCGGGGGCTGGGGACGAACTCCGGGGACCACCGACGCCCCGCCCGCCTGGGGAAGGGAAACGGCGACCCGGCTGCAGCTGAAGGTGTTGGAAGGCACCGCTCCTTCCCGCTAACGCAAAGGCAGCGCCAGCGCGCTCATCTGCGGGGAAAGGCCCAGGAAAACTGCAGCCGGGCACAGTGGAGACCCTCAAAAGTGTGCGGTGACAGAGCGGCAGCGGGAAGCCCGAAAGATTCAGCAACTCCGGGCGAATGAATGCGCCCGGCGGCGTGCAGGACCGGCTCGAGGACCAGCAAACGCGAGCCGGAGCCGGAGCCGGCCGGGAGCACGCAGAACGCTTGGCGCGAGCGAGGCCCGCGACTGCTTTGCAGGCGGATGGTGCCGGCGCCCGGAGGACCGACAGCCGGCCCGCGTTCCCCGGCCTCCGCTCTGCAAAAGGAGAAGCGGCTGCTGGTGACAGGAAGAGCGCGGCGGCAGCCGCGCGCACGCACCTCCTCCCCCTCCCGAGCACACACACCCGGACCGCCGCTGCCGCCTACCTCCCGGCCGGCGGGCTTCCTTCCTCCGCGGGGCCCGGGTAGCAGCGGCAGCCTTCTACGCTCACGGCTCCACGCGCCTCGGACCCGTCTTCGACCCACCGGCCGCTCCTGACCCGAGCTCGTCGGCTCCGACCCTCTCGCCCGCTGCCTTCGCTGCAGCCGCCGCTTCCTCCCACTCCGCTCCAGCAGCTCGCGACTCCTTTCCGTGCCGCCGCAGC